GACACTTACATGGACCTTGTGGGCCTCCATGTCCTCCTCTCGTACAGGCTCAAGATGTTTACAAAATGAGGACACCCCCCCATTGAGTCACTTAGTTAAACTCCTAAACTTCTCAAGTTGACACAATGACTCAACCATTACAACATCCTAGAGCATAAACAGCCTCCCTAGCCCATGTCCTCTAGACTCTAGGATGTAGAATTGCTGAGTTAATTAAGCTTCTAAGCATCTCAAGTAGACATAGTGAATCAACCATAGCATATGAGATTGTGGTGTGTATATGGTTGTGTTTGTGTGTGTTGGGGAAAGATGTTACACAGAGCTTAGCCAAACTGCTCTCACTTGCTTCCCAAGGACTTGATGAGGAACTGATGAGAAAAGTGATCTTGGAGTCAATCATTAAGGAGTAGGATTAAGAGCAATTGCAGCTGTTATCTCAGCACACCGACAGTGGTAGGTAGGATGCATCAGCAAAGTGTCATAGGTTGTCTTCTGTAAGTGATCTCTACCAACTTTCAGAAGTACTTGGAGGAGTGCTTTGCAACTGGCTAAGGTCTCCCGATGAAGGTAGGATCTAAAAGCCCCTGGAATTTGTCTTTTCGTGACCATTCTTAATCCACACCCATCACTCCACATGAGATAGGCTGGCTCTGAAATCATCTTGGAAAAGTGCTGTTTAATTTTTCAAGTCTGAGGTGACTGAGGTGACAAAGCATCTCAGAGCGCCATGAAGTGGAGGGAGAATGAATCAAGAGCAAGGATAAATTGGTGGAGAAGTGGAGAGGCCAGGCTCTTGCAGTGAGTAGAGAGGATCACATTTCAAGGGCCCTGCACATGACAAAACATTATTTTCATTGTCATCACGGGGCAGTTTAGTTGCCTAGGCATATAATGCTACTTTAATAATATTTGTGATGCTTTTTACATCCCTCTGAGGTTTGAAAGTTTATAAGAAAGACATGAAGCTATGTAGGTCTGAGAATTATCCACTGGAAAATAAAACTAATCAATTAAGTGCATAGTTTTTACCAATTTAGTCACACAGGAAATCCAGGCAAGCAATAATACATGGTTTTTCAGTTAGGTATTGAATTAGAAATAAAATAATTTCATTTTGCATTTTGGCTACCAAAAGGAAGTGTTTTCCTGGACATTTCCTAATATTTACTATACATGAGGTACCTGTTCCTAATCAGTTGCAGATAACCAGGTTTTCTTCTGAATTTTAATTGTAAACAATCCATACATTTAGGTTATTCAATTAGGAAATCATGCTTTCCGAGTGTGTGTGTGTGTGTGTGTGTGTGTGTGTGTGTGAGAGAGAGAGAGAGAGAGAGAGAGAGAGACAGAGACAGAGACAGAGACAGAGAGACAGAGACAGAGACAGAGAGAGGCAGAGAGATTTGTGGGGAGTAAGCATTTTTAAGATATTTGTTACGATTTTAAAAGTAAAATACAGCATTTGGGGGAGTGATAGAATTCACGCATTAGCTCAAACTAACCGTATTTCAAGGAAGCATATGAAAAGCAAACTAAGCAAAGTGTTTGCTGGCAGCTAACCCGTTTTCTGAATTTTGTGTACCTGGACATGAATCAAGTGTGCATTATGACCTGAGTGAAAGTCAGGTATCAAGTATGATTCTTGAATATGAGAGAAATATAAAAATGTAAAACTCATAATAGAGTATCTATAAATTAAAGATCAATTTTATAAGATACTTTAGCAGATTGATAAGTCTGTTTTCCATTAAGTCAACACAACTGATAAACTGCTCTGTAACTTGTAAAGAAAATGTTTTGGAGGGAAAATTAATTTTTAAAACTTACTAGGGATATTTATGTGGACAAACTTTTTAAATGTCAGTATGTTGTACTTTACCTAACATAGTAGTGCATGCATCATCCTTTAAACACAACATCGATATACATTAAAGCATAACGAAGAAAATTATGGAGAACCAGAACAAGAAAAAAGATAATCTATGGTAAAAAAGAAGAAAACAACAGTGATTTTCTACATCTTAATTCAAGGGAAACAATAGAGACACCATCATGCTTAAAGTTTGTAAATCATTCTCATAGTCTTTCCTTTTCCTGACATAGGAAGAAAAGTACTATATTATTATAAATGCAAAAGACAACCTTGTAGAATAAAAATACTACTTTACACATTAAAGGCTGAATATTGAAAATTTCAACAGTAAATTGGAAGTTTTACTTGGTTAAATGAATATTAGATAACATTACAATCTAAATAGCTCAAAATTTTCCATATGTAGGCTTATTGTTGCTGATTAATTTAAAAAATTTCCCAGTAGCTATTCGGAACTTAGGAAACATCCTGGGTTTGATCCCCAGTACCGCATGCTGTGCCAGCCCGGCACCAAGCGGGCCACTGAAACCAGGCATGGTGGCTCACACCTGTAATCCCAATGCTGGGGAGGCTGTGACAGGAGGATCGCTATGAGTTCGAGATGCATAGTGAGACCCTGTACCAAATAAATAAAAGATTTTTTAATTACAAAAAAGAAATAGGATCATAAATTTCATTAGTGAAAGGGAGTGAGGGTTCTATTTGTAAAACTCCTGAATTTCTGTCGATGTGCTGATTCTTCTCTGTTGCTGACAGGTGCTAAAAAGGCAGATTTTGGTTTTCTCATCGACAGACTCCAGATGCTGTGCTGACCCTTTCTTTGCGTGCCATTCTCACTACTATACAGCAATTGGTTGTTCTGTTCTTTGGCCTATCTCTTACAGAATGTGGACAGAAACCACAGCAATCACACATCCCTTTTAGTATGCATTTGTGATATATCATTGCGTTCATCTTGGGATACTGGTATGTCAGTACCACAACATACTCCATTTGACCTACCCTTCCCCTCCCAGTGCTCCCATCTCTCCCCAGCCCCAGGGCCCTTCCTAAAGGAAGCTTCTGCACTGGTGCTTGAAAGCATGTGGTAAACTGAAGCCATGGAGCAGGCAAAGGAGATGCAAAGTTGTTGTCTTGCCAATACATGAACTCAAAAATATTACTTAAAAAAAAAAGTTAACAGGCAAATGCACAGTCCTGTGTTCTGTTTCCTCTATGTCCTTCAAGAACATTGTCTTCATAAAGATTTAGGGGCTGCTAATACATCAGCAAAAAGATGAATCCTGATCCTGTCGTTCCCACTTGAGTACCTCTGTTGAACATCTATTGCTGCCTTTAAAAACCATCACAAACTTGTTGACCCAAAATATCAGAAACAGACTGTCTCTCTGTTCTAGAGGCCAGATATCCAAAACCAAGATGTCAGGATTGGTTCTTCCCTAAGTCTGTGGGGGGAGATCCACCCTTGCCTTTCTCCTAGGTTCTAGTGATTGTCGATACCTGAACTTTCTTTGTTTTATGGAAGCATCCCTTTGATCTCTGCCAGCAGTTTCACATGACATGACGGTTAATCTCTTCTGTAAACTTGGTTGGCTGGCACGATGTCTGGGAGATTAGTAAAGCATACTTCTGGGTGTCGAGTGAGTCAGGGAGGTCTGGCTTTGAGAACTATGACTGGACACTGGTCCCTGCCCCTGTGCGCCCTTTCCAACCCACTCTGCTTCCTGCCTATTGTGAGTTGAGCAGCTTTCCTCCATGGTGCCCTTTCACAGCTCCCCATGAGCTGAAACCTCTGGAACTAGGAGTAAGGATAAAGTTCCCCTCCTGTAAGCTGAAGGTGCCATGTATTCTGTCCCCACAATGGGAAAGCTGTCCAATATACATAGCCTTCTCCTTTGTGTGTCTCAAATCTCTCTCTCTCTCTCTCTCTCTCTCTCTCTCTCTCTCTCTCTCTCTCTCTCTCTCTCTCTCTCTCCCTCTTTCTCTGTTGTCCTTTCTCTTAAAAGTGTACTAGTCATTGGATTAAGGCTCCACCTTAAATCTAGAATCTGATGGTAAATTTCTGCTGATTTTTAAAACTTCATTATATCTGTAAGATCCTCTTTCCAAACTAGGTCCCCTTCAAAAGTATTGGGGCTAGGATCAGGATATAGTTTTGGAGGACACAAGTCAGTCCATTAGTGAAATGTTAGGAAATTGCTAATTTGGATCAATTACACGACAACATTCAAAATGGAAATAATGTGCCCAGGATCTTAAGATCTAAATGGCAAAAAGGAAAAAGCTGAACACAGTTGTGGAATTTCCATATGCTGAGTTAGAGAACACCACCTATTCACTCTAAGTTATTCTCTCACTTTGGGAGTTGGACATAGATAGTAGTACTATTTGCAATATTATATAAAATAAATCGAGAATATTCCTTTTCATCTGCCACAATTTTTCCTCTTTAGCTAGGAGTGTACACTGAACAAAAAACCACCACCACCACCAACAACAACAACAACAACACACACACACACACACACACACACACAGATTTGGAGTTCTATCTGAAATTCTCATATTTTACTTGTGATGGATAAAGTGACTATAAAAGAGCCCCCTTTACTCTCCTTGCTAGAGCAGAGTCCACCGTGGTGTGACATAAATAGTAGAACATGTGTAGAAATCAAAACAGATGTCTTCCAAGACACAACAATCCAAATCCCAGTCTCTTCAGTAGTGACTGCATGAACATTTATCTGCTAGTACTCACACACTAATACAATGCTTGTGTGAATAAGCTCAATAGAAATTTATCCAAATAGGTTTATGCTGGTTCGCGATTGTAAAGTAGATTCTTCACGGCCTGCTAGAAATGAGGACTATAGCATAAAATAAAACCAGATGGAGTGAACCCAAGTGACTCAAGAGCCTGGGAAGGTTTTGATAAGGAGTGTGGCTTCTGTCTGGTACAATGTGTATGAAACACAAGAGGAAAGGCTCCACACAATCCTAACTATGTGTTCTAGGAAAAGCATGCTGGGAAGCAAAATCAGCAGACCATCACTGGGTAGGCCTGACATTTCAACTTGTCATCTTAGAAATAGGTCATCTTACATATATATATATATTTAATGCTGACCTGTCCAAAGGGAGAACTTCCAAGTAGAATCACGTCTCTCTGGCCCTGTTTTTGAGACTCCTTGATGGACACAGAGGTGGCTTCGTCAACCTCTTTGCTGATCTCACAATTCTTGCGGGAACTTGTGAGTGATCCAGAACCCAAAGTCTCCTCCGTGCTCTTGCCACCTGTTTACCCCAAGAAAATCACATGGAGCCCCACTTGCTTTTGTCATTTAAGCAATGATCACACACAAGGACAACTACATTATTTCTTTTATGGAGTAAATTTTGATATTTTGCAATCTAAGTTTAGCAAATTATTTTCTTTGTAATGGAATGGGAAATCATTGAAAGCCAGAAGTTCTAAAACTGAAAAAGAACAAAAGTATACCTCAGGGGGCTGGGCTGGGGAGATGGCTCAGTGGAATAAGCTGGCAAGTGTAAGGGTCTGAGTTCAATCCTCAGTTCCGAAAAAAAAAATATATATATATAGAGATATATATATAGATATAGATATATAGATAGATAGATAGATAGATAGATAGATAGATAGATAGATAGATAGATAGATAGATAGATATCTTGGAGCCTTTTTCCCATTTATCAAATTATCAAATTATCAAATAGATCCATAAATGTGGACACATGGTTTACCCTAATTTTTAATATTGCATGTTGTTTACCTGAACATTTACCACCTACATGTTGTGATGTTAAACCAGGTTGGGAGATGACACCTTGAGGAGAAGCCCCAACTCTTTGATGCATCTTCCCAAGTTTAGATCCCTGAGAACAGTTCCTTCACACACAGAGGCACTGGATTTGAGCTGCGTGTCTATTTGCATAGAATGTCATCATTTATGTACACAGTACATAAGCTCAACTCTGTCATCTGAATGGAGTATCATCTACATGTGCCCAGCCATGCCAAATATACCTATTCATCATCTAGCTGTAAATATAAGATAATCCTCACTCTTCTCATCTCTGAAAACACTGAAAATGTAATATAGGATCTTTCTTGTCTCCAGAGATAGGATTTCAACAAGAACCAATGGAAGGGAGCTTCACCAAGCAGGAATGAGAAGAGATACAGGACAGAACAGTGAGTGGTACTGCTCGGGGAACGCTGGTCTTTTTTGCTCGCTGCTATCCTGTGTTACCTTGCACAAATCCCTAAACTTTGTGGGCTTTGCTTTATCCCTATGTATAAAACAATTGATAAAGTGCCCAACTATCCAATGAATTATACAAGACTTTTATAAGCCTGTAAATGACTTGTAGAAGATGTCTTGGTTACTGTCTATAAATCCATGACTGAGATGGTTTCAAAGGACCAAACCGATGGAACTCTCAGAGTGGGAAGGAGAAAGCATGAGATGTCCACTAGTCCATCCTTCCACATTGAGGCACTCAGCACACATCTGCTGACTCAGACACGAGGCCAAGCATAGACCGACCTGCAGTGCTTGATTGTACGTGTCAGTCTGACTTCAGTTGTGAAGCTCACTCTTTGGTCAGATACCAGTCCCTATGTTCCTGGGACAATATACTTTAAGACATGGTTGGCACTTAAATCCACAGACTTGAATAAAGCATATTGCTCTTCAATGCATAGTATGCTTCACACCACCAGTTGAAGGCCTTAAAGGTAAAGTTTGCAGAAGAAGAAGCCATTTGGCTTCTAAGTGACACTGTTCAATCCTTGCCTCAGTCTTCAGCCTGCTGCCCTGGGGAATTTGAACTTGAAACTGCAGTTTCACTTCCTGCCCAAATTTTGTACTGACACTCCTGGCTTTTCCAGCCTGCTCATCTTTCCTAATGATTTTAGACTCATCAGCCTTCACTGTCATGGGAACAAATTTCTTTATTTATATAGGCCAAAATATGAACAAAAAATAAGCAAATGAAAAAATGAATGAATGAACACCTGACTACCCAAATGTGTAGCAAAGAAGGAAAGAGTGGGGGTACCTGGGCAGGAATAAAACTTGTATTGGGTACTCTTGTGTAAACGAAAATCAAAAATGGGGTCAATCTTTAGAATTGTTATGCAACTTTAATAAATTAATATGTAGGTTTCTTAGAAGAGCATTTTGGGCATTTCCGGGTATCTAGGGAGCTTTCAAATATTTCACAAGTGTTAGTGGTTTCATCATTATCATTAGTACATTAGCCTAATTATAAGATACTTGCATTTCATATCTGTTCACATACTAATTAATAGTCTAAACTTCACAGCTACTCCATGGAGCTGGTATTGTATGTCCTTTTGGCATAAATGGAAAAGAAAAAAGTCATTGGTCCAAGATCACACAGCTAGCATATGGTTAGACCTAAGCACAAATTCAATAGAAATAACAGTTACAACTATTAGAAAATCTACTCATCAAAGCTCCTCCGCCTCTTAGGTACCTTAAGAAGCTATGTAACAAGGAGGATAAAATGATTGTTTAATAAGAAGCAAGCACACGCTGTGAATCCGTAGGATGATTTTACATGGGTTCAGCTATATATGTATGCATAGGAACTTTCACTTAATACTTTTGTAAAATGCAATATGGTCTAGTATGAACTCACATGTATCAAACTAAGAACTTAGAACTTAGTTTTTAGATGACTGCCTTCACTTTCTGTTTTAATCAGTAAACTAATTCCTCACTTGTTGCAAGCTTGTTGATTGTATGTGTCAGTCTGACTTCAGTTGTGAAGCTCACTCTTTGGTCAGATAGCACTTATAAATAAGAATCCCTGTGCTAAGCGTGAAAACAGTATTCTACTTGTCCTCCACTATCCCAAAGCATTTGTTTAAAAGCTAAGACAGGGTCGAGGAGACAGTTCAGTGGAACAAGTGCTGCTTTGAGTTCAATCCCTGGTACCACCAAAAAAAAAACAAAACAGTCATTAAAATGTAGGGTACATAAATTAGTAAATCCAAATAGGCCATATGCCATTACAGTAATAAGAAGTCTCAAATTGTTTTGCCACTTGAGATCACAAATTTACACAACTATAAAAAATTAGGTCAAAATTATTTTCCACAAAACCTTAGCTACTTTTCAATATTTACAACAAACAAAAGTACATGTAGTTCATCAGTTAATGGTTGTATTTAGAAAAGGCCAATGTTTGTGAGAAGTCCTATCAATCAATTTACAACTGAAACTCATCTAAAATATTGAAATAATTAGTCTCTTACCTTGAAATTCTTCTTGTCTACTCCCATTAACCAGCTTCAGTAATTGATTACAGAACATTTTATCATCACCTTGGGACGTTAAGAGAATATATGCTTAACTTTACAATCAGTTAATTTATAAATATGCAAATATGATTACACAAAGAAATAATTTATCATCATAACTATATGGTTATGAGTCACAGGCACAAACTGTCCTCAATATGTTCCTTGTTCCCAAAAAAATCTTTTGTAAATCAATGATAATTGGAACAATGATCTTAAATGTATATTACAAGGCATGCATAATAAGATACTTATCCAATAAAAAGCATCTCACAGTCAATAGATTATGACATCTATTAAGAATCATTTCAACAATCATATTATGGTTTGTCAAATCATATAATAGAATATTTAAGTGTTTGATCAAAATGAATGAATGTTTTCCATTAGCTACTCCCTCCATATATTTTCTATTTTGTATATGTATGAAGCACAAACTTTGGTGGTCTTCTACTCTCTTATATGCTATCATATTGCAGTAGCATGTATAAAGGAATCCAGAATCCTTAGTTTTGTTGTGAATTTAAAGCAGCAGGACCACGGTATTACCTACACACTAAATTAAAAAAAAAAAAAAAAAAAAAAAAAAAAAAAAAAAAAAAAAAAAAAAAAAAAAATCCCAAATAAGAAATTTAATCATCAAAACACAATTCTAGAAGAGGGTATTATTTGTTTCTTATTGCAATGCTAAAATCTAACTCAGGACCTTGGACACACATGGCACGTGCTCCACTCCTGAGCTATAACCCCAGGCCCTGACCTATACCTTAATCCCCTAGAAGAGAGCTTAAAAGGTCATTTAAGACTAGGCATGTAGCTCTATGGAACAGCCCTAGACTAGCACACTCAAGGCCTTGAGTTCCATTCAGAGGCCCTCCTCCGACCAAGAGTGTGATCTAGACATCATTTCTTACTGTTTAAACAGACTCAGACATCCACAGTGCAGGCTAAAGGACTGCCTCAGCCATAGAATCAAGCCACACAGACCTTAATACATCAAACGTGCCTGTCTCTTTCTGGCAGCTAACTAAAGCATGCACTTTGCCTCTACTGCTTTCCACACAGCCCTGCTGTCTTATCATTTCGCTACCTATGGGCAGGCCAGTTCTGAAGATGATCTTTAATTCTGTAATTCACTTCTAAGTTTCTACCAAGTATTATGGAAAAGTCTTCTAGGATCTTTATTCTCTAAGGGAAAGGATCCTGATCATTCTAGCTCTTCTCTTTCGTCTCATGCCTCAGATTCCTTTAACATCAGTATTGGGAAATACCGATCCAACAATCAATACCAATGGATCTGAAATGACTGAATAGGACAGTGGCAGCTGCTGGAGCAGAGGAAGGATATGACATACAAAGGCCTATGCAGCTAGTAACCTTTGCTCGCTCCACGCTCCAGATGGCTTTTACAAGTATTGGTTGACCTACGAATTTTCGATTCTAGCCAAAAGCCAGCACTCGGAGAAGGAGGAGGGAAGCCATTCCTGGGATATATGTTATGGATCATGTAAAAGGAAAGCATGCTGTTATTCCCACATGGCTTGAATCATTATAACTCCTTTTTTTTTAATATTGTATTTATTGAGCCAGAGAGAGTTCAGCGGCATAAGCGCCTGCCTTGTAAGTAAGGTCCTGAGTCGGATCCCCGAGACCACCAAAAAAAAATAAAATAAAATAATTAATTGCATTTACTTGGTACTGGATCTCACTATGCAGTTCCAGTTGGTAATGATCCTCCTGTGTCAGCCTCCCAGTGCTGGGGTTACAGGAATGCTCCACCACACCCAGTTTTAGTGGCTCACATGGCCCGCGGTACCAGTGATCAAACCCAGGTCCTTGAGCTTGCTAGCCAGGTGTTCAGACCTCCAAGCTATCCCTCTGCCCAAATCTTTATAATTTTTAGTGGGACAGTTACAAAATTTATACAACTTAACACATAACTGGCTCATAAAAGAATCTTATTTGGAAGTTAGGAATGAGTAACAACATAGACAAATTCTGTGCTGGAAAAAGTAAACATTTCAGTGGAATTAACAGAGACTTCTTCAGAAGAAAGTCAGATAGCACAGGTTTGGTAATGGCCAAACCTGTATCCAAGTGCCAGAACCACCACTTAGCAGCTGCATAAATTTGAGGGAGTTTCTCAGCATCCTTCAGCTGTAATCTTGATGCCCATGAAGCAGGATGGCTGTGCAGGCCAACAAGCTAACACACACATGGCACTGTGCTTCATGCCTGCAGTGCAGTAGGCCTTGGGAAGAGGCAGCCTCCTCCACTTATTTGTTTGTCTTTAAGTACTTAGTAATTATATGAAATGCACAATTTTTCAGTAGTTTAACTCCTGTCATCCTGGACTAATGTTTTAGTTTTCATCATGAAGTGATGCATTGTGAAAAATTTGGGGGGCTTGTCTGTAAGGATCCCCAGGGGAGGACACCTAGCACAATTGCCATTGAGATTCTGGCTCTTAAGGTCCACTGAGAAGCTACCTGTCAGGGTCACCCCAAGAGGCCCCATTTCTGGAAAGTCAAACAGGTCACGCGACACAGACATTGAGAACAAGCGGAAAACCCACAAATCCAAGTTCACCAATTTGGACTATCCAGCTTTCTTTCCCCTTCCAGAGATCTACTCCAAGGGAAAAGCTTCCTCAAAAATCCATTAAGTCAAATAGTCTCTGAGGCAAACACAACAAACTTGCCAAAGGTAGTTAGGTGCCTAAATTTCTAACTGCAACTGCCAGATCTTTGTGATTAAGAGAGAGATACTAAGTCTCATGAATGCATTTCTTTGTCTTAGTAATGAAGACATTACTAAGCTGTGGTGGAGCATTCCTGTAATCCCAGTCAGATATTCCCTCTCCTTTCTGCTCATTGCTTGGAGAGTAAAGACCAGCACATAGTCATGCACTGCAGGAGTGTGGGAGGCATTCTGAGAAACACATCAGTGTACAGTGTCACCATTGCATGAGTATCACATAGGCTCGCCTGCAGGGTGTAGGCCGCTGTCTCTATAACTAGGCTCCAAAGGGGACATCAGTATGGGTTGAAAGGGCGCAGGTCAAGGAGGACAAAAGCTGTGAACAATTCCACGCAGGAGCGATGTCCACTTGGAGCTGTGTGCCCTTGCACTGAGGGTAACAGCATGTGGCATGTGATCCTGTTGTTTTCACTTCAGCAGATACATGCTGTGTGCCATCCATGAGCCAAATTCTGTGCCAGGTTGTAAGGATATGCAAAGTCTAGTAGAGGAGAAAGCTGCTGAAGAAATAATCACACAAATAAAATGTGTAACTAATGACTAGAGTTTGTGCCAATGGGAGTAACAAAAAGATAAATTTGGGTAAGCAGAGAAAATGCAGCTAGCATGTCAAATCAACAGGCTTCACCACCCTATAAACGGTCCTATCAAGGTATGAAACCTGTGATGGCTAGGTTTGTATGTCAGTCTGACAGGGCTGGGTGCCCGCTGTTTGATCCAACCCTAGTAGTCTACTTGCTGTGGAGGTACCTGTTAGGTGCCATTGATATTTAAAGCAGTTAACCTTGGAGAATTGAAGCAGGTTACTCTCCACAACATAGATGGGCCTTATCCAATCTGTCAATGGCCTTAAGAGAAAAGGCTCAAATTTTTCAAAGAAAAAGCCATTCTCCTCAACACTCAACAGAAAAATTAGACTTCAAGTTCTGGTTTCTACTCTGCAGAATTTGAACTTAAGGCTGACACATCAGCCAGGAGCTGCACATCACATCAAGTATAGCCTGGAGCCCAGCCTGCCTGCCTTATAAATAAGTTTGCCAGTCCCCAAAATTGAGTGAGATAATTCTTCAGAATCTCTCTCATCCCCATACCTGTACATGTGTGTACTACGTAATCTGGATGTATGAGAGAGAGAGAGAGAGAGAGAGAGAGAGAGAGAGAGAGAGAGAGAGAGAGAGAGATGTTATAGAATACAGATACACTTTAAAGAAAGTGTAATCCTATTGGTTATGCCTCTGTGGAAAATCTAGAAAGCAGAATTATCCGTATCAGGTCATAGACAACCAGAGCAGATCTGGACATTACTCATTAGTCTTTAGGCAAATATATGTGAAATATTTTTATATCTGAGAAACTAACTGTTACTGATCCAGTACCAAGTGAATACAACACAGTCTCTTCCCACCTGGAGCTCCCACTCTATCCTCTTGTTGATGGTACATGCAGTGAAGAGGCTTAGTTAGCTACTAGACTTGGGCATGTTCATGACAGCATTCTAGAAAGAGGTAGAAATGCACAGCAAACCAAATGCCTCACAGGCACATTCAGCCCCTCGCCTTCATTTAGGTCATGTAGATATATGGAGTCCCTCATTCAGAATTTAGGAGACTGGAGAAAGCCCTTTTTCCATCAGTAGCTCCTAAGTCGTGTGAAGAGTTAGGCACAAAGATTTTTGCCTATTTGGGTAGAAAAAGAAATCCAGTGTGTTCAGTCTGTCCATATAACAAGAAATGTAAGCTTTTGGTTTTTTGTTTTTTTAAAAAAAATAAATAAATGAAATAAAATGGATCTTCCAGGTAAGGAAGAATTTTGGAAAGAGAGAAAGAAGAGCACTGAAGAAGAAATGAGGAGGGAAAATAGGAGGCAGAAAAAGATATAAAAGAGGAAATAAAAGGAGTCCAGCAGGAAAAAGGCTGACGAGACCCCCAGTGGTGACAGCGCCAGCTCCTGCCCCAGCGAGTCCAGCCTGGAGGAGGGGCAGACGCAGAGAAAGCGCTGCCGCCTCATCTACTGTGTGCATCCAAATCAACCCAGGTGCTGGCCAACACTGACTGACTGGGAAAGGACTGAGTCACCACCAATCCAAAGTGAGCTTCCCTAATTTGAAAATCCAGAATTCTTTTTCTTTCTTCTTTCTTTCTTTCTTTCTT